TGTGGGTACGAGTGTGTGTGTGTGTGTGTGTGTGTGTGTGTGTGTGTGTTGCCGGGGAGAGACTAACACCTAGATGCATACATTTCAGACTGCTAGACACACTGCTGAGCAATATTCGGTTGTCATTATATAAATAAACTACTCATTGAGTTTGATACGTGAGAGGCACTGGTAAAGCCCAGGGACGGAGTGGATTTGGAACTTGCATGCAAAATATCATCTGATGGACAGAGAGGTCTAAGGAGACTGGTCCAAATGATAGAAGCTGCAGAGAAGCAGGTTTTCGTGCTAACAATGATGCGATTGTAAGGAGGGGAAGAGATGAGAGAGCTTCCAAGCTCTCACTGAGAAAGGAATTTGGAACCCCATCAAACATGTCACTGAAGCGTTGCTGCCGACCTTCATAGCTTTCATACAGTCACAGCTGTTAAGGCCAGCAGGGACCACTGTGAATTAATCTAGTCTGACCTGCTGTGGAACACAGGACAGGCCCAAGAACTTCAGCCAGTCATTTCTGCCTCAAGTCCATAACTTCTGCTTGAGGGAGAGCATCTCTTTTAGAAAGAGCTCCAGTCCTGACTGAAAGCCTGCAAGTGATGGAGAATCCAGCACATCTCCAGGTAAGTGGTTCCTGTGGTCAATTAGCTTCACTATTAAAAAATGTACCGTATTTCAACTCTGAACATTTGCAAGAGCTACCAATTTTGGGGCCCAATTCTGCAGCCATCCCAAAGGACAGACCCATGAGCCCACATTGACCCCATGGGTCATGGGATGCCAGAGAGACGCCAGAGCCTGTCTGTCTGCAATGACTGTGGAAATGGAGTCTTAGCACAGCAAAGAAAAGGACTAGGAAACCCCAGTCCAGTGATCAAACCGCTGGGGATGTTTCCCAACTAACTCTTGTTTCCTGCATTCACAAAAGAAATACCATAGCGTTTGGGAAGCAAACCTGCAACTGCCGTAACGTTACAGTGCTATGTAGGTGAGGGTGGGAGAACCATTCTGAATAACCTCGGTCAGTTTGAAGTACTTTAATAGCAGAATTTATATTACATTTTTCATATTCAGACATTGTCTAATTAACCCTCCCAACACTCTGGAGATTAAAATCTCCATTTCAGGGAGTTCCAGGCACCGGTATGGCACTTATCTTTGTCT